AAGCAGTCCCACTAGTTAATTGTTCTCACTAGGAAGTTTTGCCTTGATTCCAGGTTGCTTCTCTCCTTGATTTGTTTCCATTCATTGTTTCTTGTCTTACCTTCTGGTGGCCTTGGAAAATATGTTGAACCCCTTTTCTTTGTGGCAGCTTTCAACTACTGGAATATTGCTATCATGTCATCCCTAGTCCTTCTTTTCTCTAGACTGGCCATACTCAGTTCCTGCAATTGTTCTTCATGTTTTAGTCTCCTGGTCTTTAATCACCTTAGTTGCTCTTCTCTGAATTTTTTCCAAAGTCTCAACATCTTTTTTATAATGTGGTGACCAAAACTGCCTGCAGTATTCCAAGTGTGGTCTTACTAATGTTTTATAAAGCGGTACTAATACTTCACGTGATCTTGATTCTGTACCTGTTTATATAACCCAGTATTGTATTAGCTTTTTTGGCTGCTGCTGCACACTATTGGCTTATACTTAAGTGGTCATCCACTAGCACTCCAAGTTTCCTCTCACAGTTACCCCTTTTTGAGCCAGGTTTCGCCTAATCTGCACTTGTACCTTTGGTTTTTCCTGCCTAGGTGTAAAACCTAGTTTTTCTCCATATTCAATTTCATTTTGTTGGATAGGGCCCATTGTTCAAGTCTATCAAGATCTTTTTGGATTTTGTCTTCTGGGAATTTAGCTATTTCTACTAGCTTAGTGTCATTTGATGAGTCCCTTCTATACCCTCATCTAAGTCATTTATGAAGATATTGAAGAATACTCGGCCTAAGATGGAACCCCACTGTTTACTTCCCTCTATGTATATTCAGTACCATTAAGAACCACTTGTTGAGTACCATTTGTCAGCCAGTCATAAATTTATCTGGTGATGATGCTGCCTATCCCACATTTTTCTAGCTCACCAAGAAGTAGGTTGTGGTCTAATTTGTTGAATGCCTTTACTGAAATTTAAATATACTATGTCCACAGAATAGGTCTATTAATTTAGTCATTTTGTCAAAGAATGAAATAAGATTGATTTGGCATGATCTGTTTTTAACAAACCCATGCTGGCTTCTAGTTATAACTTTTTTTTGTTTCTAGATGTTCACCGATCTGCTTTTTGATTATCTTTTCCATATCTTCCCAGGTATTGATGTTAGGCTGATTGGTTTGTAGTTTCCTGGGTCTATTTTTTCCCCTTTTTTGAAGATAGGATCCACATTGGCTCTTTTGCTCCAGGATTTTTGAAAGATACAATGGTTCTGAGATTATATCTGCCAGCTCCTTCAAAACTCTGGGATGTAATCCATCAGGTCCTGGTGATTTATATTCATCGAGATCAAACAGGTGTTCTCTTACCATTTTCTTGCTTATTTTAATTCTTCTTTCTAGTCTGTCTTTTTGGTAATTGGACTATAGTTTCTTTTTGTGTAAAGACTGATGCAAAGAATGAATTAAGCAACTCCACTTCTCTCTACTGGCTGTTATTTCCTTGCCATCTTCACTCTTAGGTGGGCTGTTTCCTTGACTTTTTTCTTGTTATTTATATGTTGAAAGAAACTTTTTTTTATTATTATCTTTAACTTTTGTTACAATTCTTAGCCTTTGCTTTCCTGACTTCATATTTGTGGATTCGGGCTATCTGCTGATATTGTCTTAGTTATGTGTCCCTTTTTCCATTTTTTATACTTGTCCTTTTTGTCTTTCAGTTTATCAGACAGATATTTGTACAACCATTCTAGTTTCTTCTTGGATTTCTTATTTTTCTTTTTCAATGGTATTGGGCTGGACTGGGCTTTTATGATCATATTTTCCAGAATTTCCCATACTTCTTGTTTTCCCCTCTAGGATTTTCATCCATGAAATCTTTCCAAGTCTCTGAGTTTATTAAAATCAGCTCTTTTAAATTTTAAGACACTGGTTGGATTTTGTTCTTTTGCTTGTGTTTGCATTATATTGAATTACAATATAATGGTCACTCTCGCTCAAAGTTTCAACAACTTCAATTCCCTCTATTACTTCTGTTATTAATAATTAGGTTCAATATAGCTTTTCCTCTAATTGCTACCTCTACCTTTTGGGTGACAAAGTTGTCAGTTAGGTTGGTTAGGAATCTGTTCAATCTCCCATTTGCTGCAGGTTATCTCCCAGTTGATATCAGGGTAGTTAAAGTCTCCTATTATACTACTGTGGTATGTCTCCTATTTTAACTGATTTGCAAAATGTCCATCTATTTCTTCTGCTTGGTTGGATGGCCTGTAGTATATGCCTATAACATCATTATTTTTTCCTGTTATATTGATCTAGATGGATTCTAGGAGGTTGTCACCTTGGTTTTGTGTATTTCTGTAGAGATATAGTGATCTTTTATATATAATACAACTCTACCTCCTCTTTTGTTAGATCTGTTTCTTTTGAATAATTTGTATCCTTCCATTAGTACATTTCAGCCATGAGTTTCATACCACCAAGTTTCAGTAATGGCAACTATGTCATATCTGCCTTCATGTACTAATACTTCAAGTTCACCCTGTTTGTTCCCTAAACTTTGAGTTTTAGTGCATAGATATTTGAGTTCTTAATGGGTTTTGAGTATGTTTCTTGTATCTCCTTTGTAATTGGGTTTTCCATCCTTCCCATCACTCTCTTCATATTTTTTTCATTCTCTTTACTCCCTACCTTCTTATATGATTGGTTGTCTAGTACTTTTTGCTTGGAATTGGGCTCTAGGGGTCATGATGATTGCCCCCTCCCTCAATTTTAGTTTAAAGCCCTTCTAATAAAATAAGTCAGTCATTTTCCAAATATGTTTTTTCTAGTACTTCTAAGGTGCAGTTCATCCCTTGCCAGGAACCCTTCATGTGGGTAATACAGACCATGGTCTAGGAAACCAAAGTTCTCTTGACAACACCAGTGGTTGTCAAGCCAGTGGTTCTTACTAAAATCGTTTTCTCCCTCACTGGATGTTGGATCTTTGTTGGAAGTACAGATGAAAACACCACTTATGGTCCTAATTTTTTAATTTATTTCCCTAGCTTTTTGTAATCTCTTGTTATTGTTTTCAGATTGTGTCATTGGTCCCCACTTGTAGAAGAAAAAGGGGGTAGTAATCTGTGGGTTTATTTTAATAAGGTTCTCAGTTACATCTTTGATTTTTGCTCCAGGGAGATAACATAACTGCCTATAGTAGAGTTACTATCTGGTCTGCAGATTATAGTTTTGGTTCCCCTAAGAATTGAATCTCCTATCACCAATACTCACCTTTTTTCCCCTAGGGAAGTCTGGGATTCTTTTCTTCCTGTCATAGGAATACTGGGTTTGCCTCTTTTTAAAGAAACTATTGATGACTGCTCTTTTATAGATGTTATTCCATGGGGAGGCTATGAAAGCGATCATTCAGTTCCAGAGGGGCTTCATTGGAATAGGCTAGGGTAAATAAAAGGGGCTTCGCTCTTGGTTTTTTCTTTTAAAAGTGACTTGTTTCCATCAGTCTTCCTCTTTAGGTTTATAGATAGGGTCATTTTTTATGGAAGTTGCTTGCTCCCTGTTGTGTCTAGTTTGGGTGTATTAGTTTTCTTCTTTAAGTTCATTTTTTTTAGAAGCTGTTTGCTCCCTATTATATTCAATTTTGATGCAGTCTTCTTGTTTAGGTTGGGGTTTCTGGCTTTGTTACTGAGTTTCAGAGTAGCTAGGGTTTCCTCTAGAACCTTTACTATTTCTTCTAGTAATTTATATAATTTACTTTGGATACATAAATTGTTTGGGTCTTCTGTGGGCATAAGCTTAAACATATGACATATTTTGAAAGTTACTATAATGTCAGTTTCCATTTCCATGACTTGTTGTTTGTTTGTTAAAAGATTAAAAATTTCTAAAAGTTAAATATTTTCCCTGTTGTGAAGTGTTAGTTTATAATAGTTTACAAAAGTTATTGGCCCTTTATTCTCTGGCTTGAAAAATTCATCACTATCTCCCATTTTAAAGTGTCTGTCTCTTTTTCCTGATTTTTTCCCCTCTTAGATCGTTAAGAATTTAAAAATTTCTAAAGAATTAAAATAACTAAACTGTTTTTAATGTTTTAATTGAAAAAAGAAATTTAAAAATTTATTTTTTAAAAAAAATGACAGCTGCAGTGTTCCCGAGTCATGTGATTCCCCCTTTTGCGACCTTCTGGCAAGCAGTCAATGGGAAAACCAAATTCACTTAACAGCCATGTTACTAATTTAGCAACTGCAGTAATTCACTTAATAAATGTGGCAAGAAAAATCGCAAAATGGGGCAAAACTCACTTAACAAAATTTTCACTTAGCAACATAAATTTTGGGCTCAATTGAAGTGGTAAATTGAGGACTACCTGTGTAGCAAAGCCAGAACTAAAGATTCACGTACCAAATTTTCTCAGTTAACTTTCCCTGTTCAGTTCCTTCCCGGTTCCTCCCCCTTGATAGTCCCTTATTGTCCAATTATATTTGAATAAATTATTTTGGTAACTGTTTCTTCAACAGCGGGTTGGCTGGATAGCCAACATTCCATTCCCATAGTTTTGACCCGGAGATGGTGTTTCTGGAAGGCACAATGACTAGTTACTTTGCCCCTCTCATCTAGCTCCCTCCCCTCATATCCACGGCAAACTGGCAGCTAGCAAATGCAAAGCTCAGTGTATGATGGCAGTTCTGGCACCTAAAGAAATATAAATTGAGAATGGTACAGTCAGCTAACAAATAAAAAGGAAACAAATTATTTTTTACTTACTTTTACTTTCCTTTTTAGTTCTTCTTGGTGGAAGAATACAGTATTTCTCAATATATAAATTAATACACTTTTTCCCTTGAGGGAAGAGATAAGTATTAACTCTCTAATAAAATCTCTAGAAATACTTTCTACAGGGACAAATCTATGCATAGGGTTGCCCAAAAGACAACAAAAAAGAGCTTTCCTATGCTTCCAGGAAAAAGGCAATCAAAACTCGCAGCACTATCTGCATTATTCTAAACCAATGCAAAATCAGTACTGACCTGTTGGAGAGCTCTCTAGAGGGTCGGCGCACAAAACTGATGACTCAAGTGTTGTTGGGTTCTCTGTAGCATCAAACCACTCTTCGCTGATTTCTTGTGTATTTAAAGAACCTTAAAATAATATTTAAAAATATTTAAAAATAAACAATTGAGTATACTCTCAAAGGCTGCAAAGCATACCAGCATAGGTTGCAAAGAAGTCTCTGTCATAATTCTTATTGCTCCCCGGCAACCTCTTTCTGGGTGTTGATCCTAAGTGAATAAGTGAGAGAATTGGTAAGAGAATACCTAGCTTATTTGAATGAGTTCAAGTATCCTGGATTGGATGGTTTATGCCCCAAGGTACTGAACGAATGGCAGATATGATCTTGGAACTACTGAATGAATTTTTGGGAGCTCCTGTAGCACAAGCAAACTGCCAGAGGACTGGAAAAAAGTTGATGTGCTTCCAATTTTTTTTTTTTTAAAAAGGGGGGGGGGACGGGGAATGGATCCAGGAAATTATAAACCAGTCACTTGACACGATACCTGGGGAAATTCTGGAAAAGGTAATCAAGCAGCAGATTTGTAAGCATCTATAAATGATCAAGGTGATTAAGTTTTTAAAGAGATTGGACGGCTGTTTGCCTGAAATAGTATAGGGTCTCCTGCTTGAGCAGAGGATTAGACTAGAACAGGCATGTCAATCTCGCGACATCATGTGACGTTGCATGATATATCGTGACTTTTTCCCCATTGCTGGCAATGTGGTGGCCGTGATTTTGTCGTGACGCATCAGGCCCACGGGTCGGCAGTTTGACATGCTTGGACTAGAACAGTGTTTCTCAACCTTGGCAACTTTACAATGTGTGGACTTCAACTCCCAGAATTCTCCAGCTACATTGCTAGCTGGAGAATTTTGGGAGTTGAAGTTCACACATCGTAAAATTGCCAAGGTTGAGAAACACTTGACTAGAAGATCTCCAACATCCCCTTCATTATTCTATTATTGATTCCTTTGATAAAAGTGACTAAATTAGCCAATCAGGGAAATGCAGTGGATATAGTATAACAAGGTTCATCTGGCATGGTCTGTTTTTAAAAATCTGTGCTGCTTTCTGGTAATCTCTTTTTTCATTTCTAGATGCTCACAAATCTATTGCTTATCTTTTCCAGGATTTTTGTATTAATGTCAAGCTAATTGGTCTGTAGATTCCCGCATTCCCTTTTTTGTACACTGGAACCACATCAGTCCTTTAGCAGTTCCCCCGTGCTCCAGGAGCTGTGAAAGATTTTGCTCAATGCTTCTGAGATCACATCTGCCAGGTCCTTCAGAACCCTGGGATATGGAGGACTTCCGGTCCTGCGCAGTAGCAGTTGGTTGTGGGCTTGCAGACCGCCATACCCCCACAGCTAATTTTCGTCCTCCTGGAGACCCTAATGGATCCAAGCAGCCCTGGAGAGGCGGCAAAGAAATAAGTGTGCCCCGGAGACTCTGGAATGATGGCAGTACTTCCGTTCGTCTTGGGGAAAGCTTTCTAAGCCGACAGGAGAAAGGCTATATTTCACCGATCAGTCCAAGTTACTTGCAACAAAAGTCCAAAGGAACTAACAGCACTACAGTAAACAGCATGCTTGAAACTGGGTGAGGAATCTGGTTTTCCCTTTTCTATTCTACACTTAATTTCTTGGAAAAGATCCCTAAGAAGCAAAATACCTCCAAAAGTGAAGGAGGGGGACTTCTGCCCCACCTTATACTAACAGAAGCGGCGAATTAAAATTTCCATGGAGGATCAAAATATACGGTAGTGAAATAAATTTATAAACTTGAAAGCTAAAATTTAATTTTAGACAAGTTTAAAATTGTTAAATGATTAAGACTCTCATTTTGAAGATCATTGTTCATATTGAAAACTAAATAGATGCTGACACCTAGTGGTGGATGAAGATTATGACAGTTATGATCTCCATAAAGAACTTTCCAAAAATCTGGGAAAAGTTAATCTGTTTGTGACCTTCAAAGCTTTAATAAGAAAGAACAGATGTGGCAAAAAAGACAACAATCTGGGCTGCAGACAAAGAGAATTATAAACTTTAGGGGAAAAAATCTTTTTTGAATTCTTTGGATTTCAAATATTTATTTGAGATTCTAAAGGTATTTGCAGAAAAGAAGGAAAACTTCAATTTTTGGCCATCATGGATCAGAGACATGTAGATAGAACACACCAAGAAAACATAAATAAGTGGACACAAAATTGAAAATAAAGACTCGAAGATGGAACTTAACAAAGCAAGAAAACATGATTTAATCCTAGTGGGAAAAAATTCATAAGAAATGGAAAAAGCAACTCATCCCTTAAGACTACAAAATAAATCTGAGGCCAAAAAACCAGATTGGATAAAATGGAATGTAGAGATGTTGAAAACATCAGAGAGAAAGGAAGTGATAAGAGAAGCAGAGAAGAAGAAAATGATTTTCAAGAAACATGGAAAGGCAAAATCCTCATATAAAGACACTTTATTCTATTTACTTCTTATACCTACAGCAACCATCATGAATATATGAAAAAACTTTTTGATTCAGCAAAACACATTGTTCGAGAAAGATACTGGTCAAAGGAAAAAGATTAAAATGAAAATTAAGAAAATAGATGATGGGATCTACCAGAGAGAATATTTAAAAAAGAAACATTTGTTTGAATATGGTTAAAGAAATAGAAAAGATTTTGAATACATGTCATTCTAAGAGGGATGAATTCCTTAAATAATATGTATGCTTTCTTTTCCCTTTTTTATTTTATTTCTTGATATAAGTAATATAATATTGTTGAAATGGCTTAGATGAAGGAAATGTTTTAGATAATTAAATGTGTTTGAATTTAGGGAAATGATAATGTATAAAAAAGAAAAAATGTTTTGAATAAGAGTTAAAGGATTAGATGACTAGACACATTAAATGGAATATTTAAAGATTAAATATATTTTTAGTTATGGTTAAAAAGAATAAGAAATTTTGGGGATGAATATATATTAGCTTAGGAAGAATATATATTTTAAGTAATATTTTACTTTTTATGTTTCTTTTCTCTTGCTCTCTTTTCCTTTTGTTTACTGTTTTTACCTATTCTTTAAGAAATGTAAAAGTGTTGAGATGGTTTATATAGGAAAAATGGATTTAAATCTTTAAATGTAATTAACTGTTGAGAAAATCTTAACCAGCAAGAATACTTTGAACTTTATGGGAGAAACAAATTTAAATAAGGACTGTAACAGGATATAAGATGAGGCAACCAGAACGATTAGATAGAAAAGAAATATGCTGATGTGACCATTATTTTTAGGAATATTGGGAAAAATCATATATGTAATTGTTATTTATCAAAATAATAAGAACTGTATTAATTCAAGGTTTGTAAAGAAGACATTTTGGGGGAAAGGGGAAATCAACTAAATGTACTATGTGGATTATGGATTATAGAAACCAATTGTTAATTATTTTTCTTTACAAATGTAAACCCAGCATACACACAGTTTACCAACTACTAAGTGATTTATGTTTTTAAAAAATCAATAAAATATATGGGGGGAAAAAGAACCCTGGGATGTAAGCCATCTGGTCTTGGCGATTTGAACTTGTCAAGAGTGGACAGGTTTTTTTTATCATTTCCTGTCTATTTTGACCCACATTCTTGTTGTTTTCCACTGTGCTGCTTTCGAGAGGTCAGACTATTTTTTCTCTTTGCTTGTACACAGAGGTAAAGAAGGAATTAAGTAGTTCACCTTTCTCACTGGATCTCTGCTGTTCCTGGCCACTGCACTGAATGAAGGACTGAACACGTGAATCTGTGAGAATATATTTGTTTTGGTTATTTATTTATTAAATTCGTATGCCTCCCATTTCACTATTGAAGCAATTCTGGTCAACCATCCCAACATATTGGGACATGTTGATGAACACCATTATATATTGCTGTCCTTGATTGTGGGGGGAATACTGTTGATATGTTGGTGCCTGGAGGATGGTAAGGTATAAATGGCTCAAATTGCACCCAAGCAGCCCAGGTTTGTACGAGAGTGAGCACCACTATAATTCTGGGCAGAGAGATACTACCTATTCAAGATCAGGTTTATGATTTGAGGATTTGTCTGAACTCATGACTTCTGCTTTAGAAACAGGAGTAGGCAGTGGCAGAGAGGTCCTTGTCCACCCTGGTTGTTTCCCAACCTGCAGAGACCTGGTAACAGTAAAATGTCCTCTACCCACCACTTAGATTACTGTAATACCATAAAATACTTTGCATAGGGATATATATAAAGAGTATTCTGAAATTACAATTGGTCCAGAAAGCAGAAACCCATGCTTTAACTGGCTCTTGATAGTTGAGCACATTACATTTACATTGTAGGTCAGGCACTGATTATTGGTTTAGCTCCAAATACAATTTAAAGAAAGAAGTTGAACTTACTTTTCTCTTCAAGACTATTTTCTCTCTCCTCCATCTTGGAAAGGCACTGATGAGAATCACTGTTTTCATTCTTTTGAGATGTAATCTATTAAAAAGTCTATTTTGTTTTCAATGATGCTGTGATTCTTTGGCTTATTTTATATTTTTCTGAGAATTTTCCTCAAAATTATCATAACAAAAACTTGAATTGCTTTTGCTAATTAAATTTGAACATTTGAATATTACTTTAGAAACTGAACAATTTGAAACAAAAATGAATTAGTATATATTAGTCAAGTTTATTATATTCATGTTCAAGATAAAACAATATATATTACATAATATATATGCTTTGAGATATGGATACTAAAAATGTGTTGTATTTTAGAATTTGCTTTTAAAATATCTTACTTCAAAAGACCACAAACTCAAAGTAATTAAATAAATATGGAAAAAACCCAAGCCCCAACTCACTAAGTGCAGGAAAGGTACTTCATTATCTTGTGACAATAACATTTCTGACACCGATTTACTGGTTCCAAGTGGTGAACTAAAAATTAAGACAGTATTTTAAATAAATGCAGTATTTCCATAAGTAGACAAAATATTTTCCAACCAATTTTCTTACTAATCTTGCCTTAAATTACATTTTTATTAGAAACCCTCTCCTTTCAGGCATAAATTGCATCCATCTTTTTGTACTGTGGTGACCACAACTGGACACATATTCAATATATAACAGTATATATCACAAGTATCACTTCTTGTGATCTTGATGCTCTCTCTCTGTTGATGCAGCCAAGGACTGCATTAACTACATTTTGCATACTGAATACTCAAAGAACTGGAAAGTATGTTCTATGAAGAGAGCTGAGAAATAGTTATATTTAATCTTGGAACAGAAGACTGAAAGGGATCCTGAGAGTACCCTTCAAGAACCTGAAAGGACATCATAAAATCCATTCTGTATCATGTTAGATCAGGGCTTTTCAACTTTTTCACCCATCGTACCACTTTTCGGAGATGGCAATATCCGAGTACCACCAGTCGCCTAACAAGGTGTCAAAAACCTGATGACCAAAAAAAAAAAAAAAAAAAAAAAAGGAAAAAAGTGATAAAGTACAGGTAGTCCTCGACTTACAACAGTTTGCTTAGTGACTGTTCAAAGTTACAATAGCACTGAAAAAAGTGCCTCCCAAGCCACAGCCAAGCAAGACACCTGCCTGCTCGCCCGGTGGCACTCTTCCTCCTGTCCAAGGTTTTCATTGTTGTGAGCATTTCTGTTGAGGATTGGCAGCGGGAGTGGGATGGGGGGTGTTCGGTTTTTATTCCACCCCATCTGCTGGGTGGTTGCAGCAGGTTTTGGTCATTTCACATGACCCTGGGACACAGTGACCGTCATAAATATAAATCAGTTGCCAAACATCTGAATGTAAATCATAAGACCCTGGGGATGCTGCAACATTCCAGCTGATCGGAGCTTCTTCTGGGCTCAGCAGAAGCACCAGGATCAGCGCCAAGCTCCAGCTGGAGCCTAGCTCTGATCCTGGCACTTCCACTGAGCTCTGACAGCCATGCAGCTCCAGCCATCTCTCACTCAGGCTTGTGCGGTGCTACCACCAGTTCAGCTCATTCCCCTCCCCCACTACCACTTTTCTAGGGTGCTCACGTACCACCTGCCAGGTGCCAATGTACCACAGGTGGTACCCATACCACTGGTTGAAAAGCCCTGTGTTAGATAACTGCCTTAGCTTCCTGGAAAGCACATCTGAATGGAATGTTAGGGGGAAAAAACGAGGGATGACTGAAATAATCTCATAGAAAACTCAGTTTTCATTTTCTCACATTACTTCTAGAACCCAGACATATATTTAAAGGAATAACATCAACAATAGGAGGTGACAGGATGAAGATATAAAACTTGCAGAGACATGGAGAAGGAAACAAAACTGGGAAAAAGATGTATGGCTGATGTGGGGAAAAAACAAAGTAGAGAGTCAGGAAGAAATTTAGTTGACTGTGTTCAGCAGATCAGCGGTTCTAATCTTACTGGCTCAAGGTTGACTCAGCCTTCCATCCTTCCGGGGTAGGTAAAATGAGGACCCAGATTGTTGGGGGCAATGTGTGTATATATATATATATATATATATATATATATATATATATATATATATATATATACATACACACACATACACACATTGGTTACTGGTGTACACCACTTAGAGAGTGCTTGCACTTAAAGCGGTATATAAGTCTCATAAATAAATAAATAAAATGAGTAAATATGCAAGAAACTGCATTTTAATACCCAAATCTTATGTCTTCTCTATAGAACCCAGGGCTTTTTTTGTCACAGAACACCGAGAATGGAGTTCCAGCACTTTTTGGATGGAACCTTGTAGGATATGCAAGGCGGGTTGTATGACGTGTGTGAGTTCTCTTACCTCTCAAAAAGCACTTTTTTTTTTTTTTTACAAAAAAAGCACTGATAGAACCTATTTATTTTAAACATTTCTTACAAACCTGCTTATATTTTCCTTTTCTTTCATAAAAATTCTGCAACTCTGCCAGCAGTGCTGATAAAACATCTGATAACGAAGTTTTAAAATCTGCATTTCAGCTTTGATGGCTCTCTGTAATGTTTCTTTACAACAGTTTGGCAAACAATTTCTTTCTTTTGATAGTTGCATCATCCTTTCAGTAGAAATGTTAGTTAATAGCTTTAAGAAATTACTTTTGTGCATTTAATTTGGTTTCAAATATAATTATTCACTAATTCAGATCTAACCATAAACTTATAATTTTGAAGAGATTAGGTTTACAGGTCTTCCATAAATGCTATAGCTGCAAGCCTCTGCAAAAGCCCTCTCTCTAATTTCTGGGGACTGGCTGAAAAAGGTCCATTCCAAAATCCAAGCAGGATTTGCAGCCAGTCCTCGCAAAAAAGAGGGAATCTTCTTTTCCTAGGGGATTGGCTGCAAATGCTCGATACTGCAAATACTCCATGCCAAAATTCTACTTGAATTTGGGGTTGGCCTTTTTTAACCTTCTTTGAGAGAAAAGGGGCTGCCTTCTGGAGGGATTCAGCCCCACAGGAGCATACTTTTTCTGGCAAGCAGCTTTTATTCCATATGCATAACAACCTGCAAGTTCACTTAACAACAACCACAACTAGGAATGCCAGGATTGCAGTTCTTTAGTGAAGCAGACATGTGATGTCTTGCTTAATGACTCCTGTAACCAAAAAAATGTAGTTTCAATTATGATCATAAGCTGAGGACTGTTATTTTAAAGAAAAACATTTTTTTGAAATCATACCTGTATGGAATTTCATTCAAATCTTTGCTAGTGATATTACTCCATTCCAAAGGATCCTGGAAAGATCAATGTATAAAAAATTATATATCTGTGAGTAATTCATAACAATAAAGTATTCTCACCATTTATTCATTTTCAATCAATCCTATATTAAGTATTTGACCATGATATAATAAAATAGTCCTACAATTGTTGTCATGAAAATTTTCACTGGATTTCTTCAGAAAGTTCTGAGGAAGATACTTAAATGTACAAAATAAAACTAGGGTATATATTTAATATTATTTGCCTGAATTAAAATTACTAGAGAAATAGATTCCTTACCACACTTCGATTTGGGAGGCATGCCATGTGTAGAGGAGAAAGGAAAGACTTTTTTACTGTATAATAATTACTTATACAAAAGGCAGTAATTTATACTACTTATAGTACTTACAGATATTTAAAACAAATATAATAATCATCCATAAAATGAATATGACCAAGGTCGTCTTCTTAAAAATCAATCAAACCCCTAACACTTCTCCATCACAATGGGAGAGGGAGAAAAGGAAGATTTTGCATTAAAGCATCATTCCAAAGCAGTTCTGAGCAAACGTTTCTTTATACAATCACACCAGCTTATGCAACGTTTTACCCAGAATTATTAGAAGTGCAAGGGAATAATTTGGTAATTATATAAAGCTCCCCAACATTTTTCAATTACCTCAGATTTCGATTTCCATCCATGTTTTGTAGCACCATTAGTAATACAATCTTCCAACGTATCAGATATTGCTACTTGTGAGTCAATCATCTCCACATTGCCAGAGATACATGACCAGTCTGTATTGCAGGCAACACTTCTATAGTCAGCCATTACAGGCATTATTTCTGGAGCCAACCATTCCCTGGGCCTACATTTACTCATCATTGTTATCACAGTGTTTTGTGCCTTAGATGCCATTGAACTTTTAACATTAATAGCACGACTTGTTGTAAAATTAGCTCTAAAGTCAGCAGTTGCATCAATAGCTTGGTTAATTGCACTTTTAAGATTGTTACAAGATTCGTGATATGTATTTGTGATGCATTTCAATTCTGTACTAGAAAAATTATCAATGTAATTTCCATGATGTTCACAGGAACTGTAGATAGAGTTCTTTATATCACTATTAACGATAACTGATGGTTTGTGGGCACATATATTTGAATCTTCTGCATTATGAGAAACCTGAGAAAAAGGTAGTAACGTTGTCTCCTGGTATATGTTTGGATTTCCAGTTTTGTTTAGATAATCATTTGTTTTAAGTATTTCTTTAGTAGTAGCAGTAACAGATTTCAGTGTGGTATCACTAAGAAATTTTACTTTAATCTTTTCTTCTATCTCAGCTTTGTTAGCTAAAAATAATTTTGAATTATTCTTTTTTTTATTAACCTTAATATGAGTTGAATCTTCAACAATACTATAAAACATGCTAAGACTCTCATTTCTTTTTTCACCTAAGGTTATATGCTGGTTTTCTGTATAATTGACATCTTGAAACATCTGGGGGAATATTGATATTTCATTGCCATTGTAATGTTGTTCACAACCTGATGTGGAAAATGGCTGTTGATGATCTGTAACATTCTTTTCATTTATCATTTTCTTTACTTGAAAAATTTCTGAATTATCTGTTTTCTGCCTATATGAACAGACACTATCAACATAATCCTGTTCAACACTATGATATTCTGACTGAGGGTTATCATCAAAATAATTGCATTTGTTTGCACTTTTATTCTTAAAATAGCAGAAATCTGTATTAATATTTCTTTCATTTGTAGTTTCTACTGCATTTGAAGTATTTTGTTGCTGTTTTTGGATATACATACATTCTTCTTTGCCTGATGAAATTAGGTTTTCTTTTGATAAGTTTAAAAGTGAGGCACTTAAGTAACACGACTGGCTTGAAATGGAATACTCAGCTCCCATTTGAAGATTACTACTGGTATTATCAACCTCATATTTTTGGAAACATGTTGCCTCTTGTGATACTTTCAGGATGGGTGATGTATCTGCATCTTTTTCCACTCTGCATTTTCTACATTCCATGATCCCAGTCTCAGGGTAGTTATTTGAAACAATTACTTGAATGGCAACTTTATTAAATGTATTTTTCTTAAAACTGCTTTAGAGATGATGGGGTTTAACTATTGCTTTTCCACCTGTTTAAAGGCAAGATATATAAATTATAAAGATTAGTATTTTGGTAATTACTGGATTTTGTTAATTAAACTCATACACAGAAACAGCCAGGAGACCAGGTGTAGATCAAGACTAATTAATCTGAAGTTTTTCTTTCTAAGCTTTTAAGCATAATTACTTTTACATTTAGGATTTTAATATACAGTTCCTGAAGCCTTAATAATAATAATATTAATGATGATAATGATGTTGGAAGGGACCTTGGAGGTCATCAAGTCCAACTCTCTGCTCAGGCAGGAAACCCTACACCATTTCGGACAAATGGCTGTCCAGTCTCTTCTTAAAAACTTCCAGTGTTGGAGCATTTACTGCTTCTGGAGGCAAGCTGTTCCACTGATTAATTGTTCTAACTGTCAGGAAGTTTCTCCTTAGTTCTAGGTTGCTTCTCTCCTTGATTAGTTTCCACCCGTTGCTTCTTGTCCTGCCTTCAGGTGCTTTGGAGAATAGCTTAATTCCCTCTTCTTTATGGCAGCCCCTGAGATATTGGAACACTGCTATCATGTCCCCCCTTGTCCTTCTCTTCGTTAAACTAGACATACCCAATTCTAGCAACCGTTCCTTATATGTTTTAGCCTCCAGTCCCCTAATCATCTTTGTTGCTCTTCTCTGTACTCTTTCTAGAGTCTCAACATCTTTTTTACATCGTGGTGACCAAAACTGGATGCAGTATTCCAAGTGTGGCCTTACCAAGGCATTGTAAAGTGGTATTAATACTTCACTATACTATACCTGTACATTTGGTTTTTCTTGCCTAAATGTAGAACCTTACTTTTTTCACCATTGTTCAAGTCTGTCCAGATCTTCCTGTATCCTAAGCCTGTCTGGAGTGTTGGCTATTTCTGCCAGCTTGGTGTCGTCTGGAAATTTGATGAGTTTCCCATCTATCCCCTCATCCAAATCATTGATGAAGATGTTGAAGAGCACTGGGCCCAGAATAGAGCCCTGGGGCACCCCACTACACACTTCCCTCCATGTAGATGTGGTTCCATTGAGGACCACACGCTGAGTACGGCCGGTCAGCCAGCTACGGATCCATCTGGTGGTGATGCTGTCTAACCTGCATTTTTCTATCTTATCAAGTAGTAGGATGTGATCTACTTTGTCAAATGCCTTACTGAAGTCCAAGTAAAGCATATTTAACGAGTTCTTGTTAAAGCATGTTTAACGAGTTCTTATTTTAGAATTATTTTATAACTTCATATGTAAATCAGTTTGAAATATTTTTTTCAGAATTTATCTACAGCAAACTATTAAGCTTAATTTTATAGCATTCTATGTAACTAAATTTATACCTGCAAAATTGTAACAAAAGGTCACAAATTCTCTGAAGATAAAGATTTAACTCAACTGAAGGAATTAAAAAAATCAAGCTTGTCTTGTACTTTGCAATCTGTGGTCATACACTTCAGAATCAGCATCGCCACAGTAACTGCTTTCCACAAACAGGTAAGAAGGAAGAGACTACCACTAATGGATTTGATGTATCCAGTCACGGGACTAAAGATTTCAGATAAGCAGTCTTTATTGAGAACACAAAAGTACTTTAAAATAAATAAATCTCTCACAAAATTGAAAAATTTTATTGTGATCATTGACCAGTAGTAGAGTAACACTTCATTTCAAAAGTTATAAAATGAAATAAAAGGATTAAGACCAACAGAAAAGGAAACTGTGAATACATATTCAGTGCAAATATAAATGAGCTAAAGAAAATAACAATAGAGCTTAGACTTATATAACTACTTCATAATACTTTACAACCCTCTCTAAGTGGTTTACAGAGTCAGCATATTGCCCCCAACAATCTGGGTCCTCATTTTACCAAACTCGGAAAGATGGAAGGCTGAGTCAACCTTGAGCCGGTCAGGATTAAACACCTGGCAGTGAGCAGAATTAGCCTGCAATACTGCATTCTAACCACTGTGCCACCAAGGCTCATATCAGCGTAGTCAATAGGAAACTAAGCAAAATACTGTCTCATAAAGTGAAAAATCTCTCAGAAACCATGGACATGCATTAAAAAAACCCAAAGCATAAACATTTTCATTAAATTTTTTATATGTTTATATGATAGATATCACATAGAAAGAGCCAGCTTGGTGTAGAGCAGTGGTTCTCAACCTGTGGGTCGGGACCCCATTTGGGGTCGAACGACCATTTCACGGGGGTCGCCAAACAAGGCTGTCTGCCATGTTTTCCCCCTTTTCTTTGACCACGCCTCTGGCACCCAGTGATGTATAAGTGGTTGGGGTCACCATAACATGGGGAACTGTATCTGGGGTCGCGGCATTAGAAAGGTTGAGAACCACTGGTGTAGAGGTTAAGGCAAAAGGCTAGTAACTGGAAGATTAGCAGCAACTAATTCTGTCTTAGGTTTGAAGCCAACTGGTAATCTTGCACCAATCACTCTTTCTCAGTCCTAGGAAGCAGGCAAAGGCAAACTATTACCAAAAATCTTGCCAAGAAAACTGCATGGACTTGTCCAGGCAGTTGCCATTAGTGAACACCGATTTGAAGCCAATCACACACAAATACATTGCACACTTCAAATATTATTAAATTTATATGCCACGCATTTCACAGTCACACTAAGTATATATGTATGACAGGGCAAGAATATGCTAATCTATACTTCATGGAAGGCAAAGAAATTTTCAGTCTTAAAATCTATACTAAGTAGAACATTGTGTATAGACATTATATAATAATTTCATCTTACTTTCTGTATGCAAATCAATTTAGGCCACATACACACATACAGCCTTGAGTGTGCCTACCTAAAAAAAATTAATGTCCCCCTTTGACCAACCTGACCATTAGCAAAAATTAAAATGAAGGGAAGGGAATTCCTTCAATTTGAGGAGATAATTCTCTAATACAATTTAGTCAAATTGATGTCCTCCAGGTATCTTGGATTACATTTTACCTCCCTAATCAGCAAGACTATTGGATTTAAGTTTATATCCAGGAGTCATCAAGTTACGGAAAGCTGAATGCTAAAGCACACAACTTTAGATCTTTGCCATGGTCAATAAAATTCCAGTATTCATACATACACTTTAAAAGGAACACAGTCAACTCTATCATGTTATATACCACAATTATAATTTTCATTAATAACCAAGGCAGCAAACATACCTGATACTACTTTCTCCTGTTTCTATCACAATAACCCTGTAGGCTGAGAGAGACTTACTAGTCCAAAGTTGCCCAGCTGGCTTTCATGTCTAAAGAGGGAATTCATGGTCTACTGGTTTCTAGCTTGATTCCTTAACTGCTAGACCAAACTGTCAGTAGCTAAAGATTTCATATTCAATATCATACCATACTCCCATGTGAGTTTAGCTGTATTATATATTATACATTATTTTCCATATAACATGTGTAATCCAATGGTATTATGGATTGGGATTACATTTTCCTAGAACTGAGAAATTTCCTGACAGTGCGGACAATTAATCAGTGGAACATCTTGCCTCCAGAAGATGTGGATGCTCCATCACTGAAGGCTTTCAAGAAAAGATTGGACAGCCATTTTTACAGAATGGTATAGAGGCTCCTTCAACTCTGTTATTCTGTATTCCAGCAATTTTCAGCATATTTCCTGTTAGTGTAAATTAGTCTGAACAGATCAGGATCCCACTGCTCTTATTAAGTGGTTTTAAAACATTTTTCCTTACTTTAATTATTTCTTGATCATAAATATTGTGATACTTACCAGTAAAGTTATGTTTGAGATGACTCCAATATACATTATTCAAGCAGTAAAATCTGTTATGCCTAATTTAAACTTTTACCCCATTGAAACACAAGACAGATTATAACTTAATCTTCTAAGGCTTAGAAAAGTACTGTAATAGCAGGCAATTTTTATTTTTGTCAATTTGTCTTTGAGCTACAGTCAAGGCTTACATAGCAACATTAAGGTATTCTCAAAAGCTTCTAAAAGATAAAATTTCTCCTAAATCTCAACGTGGCTCACTCTTAATTACTACCTGCACTTTGCTACCGTTTGCCTTTTCTAAATCAAACAAATGGTTGAAAATACTGGTGAGGCCTTTAGAATAACTTAAGGCAGTTATCTTACACATTTCAGAAACAGGTGTAGTAAGAGATAGCCCATACATACTAAATGACATCCACAGACAGCAAATTAATCTTTTTTCAGACCTGGCGAACCATGATATACCAAAGGGAAGCAATTTAACCAAAGTTACCTTCCGGAAAAAGTTTTCTAAAAATTCGTGGTGCGTTTTCTTTGTAATGCACGCCATTTACAAACTACAACTTCTTATAATACTTAAGTGTCCCCTCATGCGGTAGCACATTCCAAGAGCAAAACGGACAGTTTAGAAATCCGGCAAGGGGCAGAACCAGCAGAAATAATCTTAACTGAAACATTCTAACCCCAAGCAAGAACAAAAATGGCCCAACGACTGAACCTACCCACGTGCCTCACCGGTTCATTTTTATCGAGGGCGTTCGTCTTCAATCAAAATGTTATTGGCTGATTCCCTCTCCCCCGTGGATTGGTGCAAAAAGAGCTCGTGCTCTGTTGGAATTAGAATATTCATCAAGGGCGACGGGTTTGAGATCTGGCTCGTAGATGTGTCCTCGCTTGTTCTGATACTGGGTTTTCCGTTAGTCTGGGCAATGTTGGTATTTTAACAGCGAGGTTTATTATGAAAGTTAGTTCTTCTGGAATAAGTGTCCAAACAGCCGGATGCTAACTGGATTCTCCTTTTTAAATTTAGCGCGGGGTTTTCAAAATAAAGTATCCATCTTTACTGCTGGTCAATGATATTTTCGTTTAGTTTTTACATTTATGCAAAGGGACAACATTGTTTTAAATAACTACAAAAAAGGATAATTAAAAGCTCCTTAAGCATGTTCACTTCTGAATCCAGAATATTGCATGCACTTTTGGTTGCCATGTTATAAAAAAGATGTAAAGAGAAGAGCAACAAAGATGATTAAGGGACTGAAGACTAAAATATGAAGAACGGTTGCAAGAATTGGGTATGTCTAGTTTAATGAAAAGAAAGACTAGGGGTCACATGATAGTGTTCCAATATCTAAAGGGCTGCCACAAAGAAGAGGGGACCAGCTTATTCTCCAAAGTATCTGAAGGCAGAATAAGAAGCAATGGAAACTAATCAAGGAGAGAACCAACCTAGAAATGAGAAGTTTCCTGACAGAACTATGAACCAGTGGAATGGCTTGTCTTCAGAAGTTGTTGAGTACTCCATCACTGGAGGGTTTTAAGAAGAGATCAGACAACCATTTGTCTGAAATAGTAGGGTCTCTACTTGAGTAAGTGGTTGGACTAAAAGACCTTCAAGATCCCTTCCTACTCTGTTATTCTATTAAGAGAAAAGATAGATTTTTTTTCCTGATGGTGCAATAAAGAATGATAATTATGGGAATGTAAGTGAATAGGAACCCCTTCCATCACACTTATGCTCTCAGGAAATGTAAGTCTCCACAAATACTGTTCAATTGTCTGAAGCAGAGACCATTTAGACCAGGGGTGTCAAACTCAATTTCATTGAGGGCTGCATCAGCATTGCAGTTGCCCTCAGAGGGCCGGGTGAGTGTGGCCAGGGTAGGTGCAGCCTACTGGATGGGTGTGGAGTGGGTGTGGCCTACTGGGTGGGCGTGGCCAGCTCTACATTGTTTGCGTCAAGGGTGCCTCTGGGGGCCTGGGCAGGAATGGGACAGATCTGAGGGTCTCTGGCAGAAGGGAGTGGGACCAGGGCAAGTGCCAAGGCATGGTCCACTGGAGGAGCCTCACTGTTCCTCTCAGGCCATACAGGGGGAGGGCTTATGGAGCTAAGACTGAATGCATTTCAACATAGAGGGCCACCACAAAATTGTACATTGGCTCCCGTCTGACCTGGGCCAGGGCCAAGGCAGAGGGAGCCGTTCTCTCACTGTTTCCAGGATGGTTTCGCGGGCCACACGAAACCACTTCGCGGGCCGCATCCGGCCCCCAGGCCTTGTGTTTGACATGTCTGATTTAGACAATCCCAAAATAAGATTATCTTACAGACAAAAAGTGTATATTTTTTTTCCAAATACCCTTTGCTGCAAACAATTACCACACTCATGGAGACTAGTAAAATGAATATGATTAGGGAAGAAATATTTTGCTTTTGTAATCTTTAGTTCTACATTTTCTGGCAACTGACACAATTTTCTAGTGTCTCTTTATATTACTTTATATTACATGTTTCTCTTAGAACTAAGCTGAATTTACTTTTAGCTTTTTATGTTCCTGTTGTGAAAGAGTTGACTTGTCTTGTAACTTTAAAAAAATGGGAAAGGGATAGTAAAACAAACAATCATTGATGGATAAGCAAGAAAGGAAGACAACAGAAAGATGTGAGAAGCAAGAGAAAATATAAGTATGAAGAAAGAAAGAGCCATTATAGATATTATAGAAATTATAGAATTTATTATAGAAAATGATTTATTAAATGAAACATCAATCAATTCACCTTTAGTTGTAATTTTATACAACTAAAGCCCTCCAAAACATCTAAATAAACCAAAAGATTCAGCAAATCTAGAAGAAAAAAACAGTCCTTACAACATATAGTGTAAGGACTGCAAAAGCCACTACAGCAGGTGTGTCAAACTCACAATGTCACGTGACATGTTGTGACATATCACAACTTTTTTTCCATTGCCGGCAATGGGTGGGCATGGTTTCAGCATGACGCATCCAGCCCACGGGCCAGCAATTTGACACCCCTGCACTATAGTATGTAGGACAAAGAGATAAAAGACTAATGGATCACTTCCATGAACACCAACTAGCAGTCAGTTTTAAGGATAATTTATTTGGATTCAAAACTTGCACAGAAAGAAACAATTTGTTGTACATCCTTTCCCTTTTAAAATATACCTTCCCCCTTTTAAAATGTCACTGGAACTTATTTTATTGAAATAACAGAATAATTCAAAGATTGTTTACCATTTATCGATAGATAAGTTATTCTATAAAGCTGTTTTATAAATGGAGGAAAATGGGTAGTATGATTAAAGAACAGATCATATAAATTACAGACCACTTTATCTATAGCATAATGCCTATACATTCTTTATTTTTTTAAAGACAAAGATGCAAAAGAAATAACTTTATGCCTCTAGGGAAAGTTCACTAAATAAACACAAATACTATCAATGGTTACATCTAAGATTTGTTGGAAATGTTGTGACCACCCTAGAATATACTAAGAACTTTTGGGTGGAATTACCCAAATGTCCAACAACTGGGAAATTGGTTTTTAAGCAAATAAATAAGATTTGAACTGCATCAGTTTTAGCAAGAACAGAATTATATATTACATAAAGAGAAAATACAAATATAAAAAGCAAAAGCAAGATTATTATCCCAAATTTAGACATTTGATACACAATTTATTAGAAATATTTTAATGGAAAAGCTTATAAATATCTTTTAATTTAACTTGTAAGATTTTTGTCAAATTCTGGCTGAGAAGCCCAACGGAGCGAAACACCAGAGACATTGCGATCTTTAATGTAAACTTTATTAGGCATTAACAAACTGGTAATATAGAAAGAAAGCTAGCTCTGAAACTATGGCACGAAATAGATAATTGAAAACTTTCCTTCCCCTCTCTGACAGTTCAGGTCACTTCGTCCAATTAATCTTCTAGCAATTGGTATGAGAAGAAACTTTGGTTCATCAAAACATCTCAACGGCTTCGACTCTCATGCTGATAGGGAGCACCTGTGGATCCCAAACTCTCCCTCTCCCCCCCACCTCCGTAATTGTTGGCAAGCTAGAAGCACTACTGCAGTCCTAAAGACAGTAAAGTTTGTAGCTTGACAATTTTATTTACTTTGCTAAATATATTAACCAAACTACCATATGAAGAAGGATTGCATTTAAGTATCTTACAAAACAATTGAAAAAGATGGGAATAATTCATAAATGAGGATTTCCATTTAGTCAATCATTTTATTTCAGTCACTAACCAGCAAACCAAAACAAACAAATCACATTTAGCTTGGTGAATATCAATACATCCTATACAGCACAAAAATTTACTAGAGTAAAATATGCTATAATAACATAATAGTATAAATTGTAAATTTAGGAGTTTGGGCATTAAAGTTCATATAATATTATATAATTTATATAGGGCAATTAATGATTATTTACAATAATAGAATAGTAAATTATCAATCTAAAGTATAGAACATTATACTAAAAGACATGGAGAAATTGTAATTAATATATCTAGAAAAAATCTAATGATGTAATATACAAGGAAGAATAATGTATAGTTGATTATGGTTTCAAAACTAAAAGTTAGAGTCCAATTATAGTGACTATGTTATTAAAATTGCTTTGGTAGCTAACAATAAAATTAAGACAGAAATAAGAATCAATTGACAGTGAGATATAATACACTGACATAAAGAAGAGACTAAACGAACAACTAAATTTGAAATGTTTCCAAATGGAAACTTTCTAGATGTTTGAGAAAAAAAATGTTGTGTATTGTATAAAATATGAACATTATTTGGCTGTAGAATCAGTCTTGTCTGATAATAATTATTTGAGATAGAAGGAATGAGTGCAGCCACATTATATGGTGAAGAGTAGAAATAGTAATTCTTGGTGGGTACAATATAACATATTACAGTATTGTAAGCTGTCTAGAGTAACCCCATTGTGACAAGTGGCAAATAAATTTAATAATAAAATAAGAAATAAGTAAATTTCAAATCTGATTCCATGTTATTTAAGATAATTTGTAGCTCATCAGAGTGGTGGCAGCTCATGAGAAGCCATATGATTTTAATTTTTCATTTATTGCTTTACATTAGGGAAACTGGAAGCTGGCAGTCATAATTAAAGGGACAAGCCAGCTTGAGAAAAAAAGAAGTTTAAGCCACTATGAAATTATATAAATCCAGAAACAAGTTTATATTTTGAGTAGGCCAGCCTTATGGCAAAGCACTATTTGGAAGACAGATCTCAAGAACTTAAACTGAAGTCTTTTAAGGGGAAGAAATAACTTGTAAGTCAACTGGACTCCAAAAGAAAGCAGAGCTCAGATCTTGGCCAAGAAGATTTAGGGCACTGCAGATTTGGAGAAGCAAAAGAATTTTAGAAGTGAAACTATTTTCTGAAATACTTCCAGTGAAGAATAGAAGCTATTCTTGAGTTACAATGGCAATTGGGACCAGAATTTCCATCACTAAGCGATTTGGTCATGAAGTGTGATCGCATGGCTTAGCAATGGCAATCCTGAAAGTACCAGAGAGTCCTGTCATGACCCATAGACTGTGTTGGTTGCTAAGAAACAACCTCATGGGATCAGAGTCCTAGGCAAGCACACTAGGAGATGAGAGCTGCAAATGGGTAGATAAGTGCTTAACCCTGAGATCTCATACTCCATAACACAGACTCCATAGCATTTTCAGAGGGAAAAAAGGGTTGAGAGTGACTTATGAGAGTGACTTGCAAACTTTTCTGTTGACTTCCCCATTGGCTTTCCTTGTGTAAAGGGAGCAGAAGATGTTGTGAATGGCAATCATGTGACTGTGTCTCATTTCAAAAAGTTGCCAGTAAATTAAGACAAAACGGTAGGAGGAGAGGTCGAGA